AGCAACAAACAATTAAAGAGGGAAGAGTAGAAAAAAAGTCCTTAGTGATTGCCCCCAAGTCAACAAGCAAAAAAAAGAAAAGATGGTGGAGCACAAGATTAGGAAACAAAGGAAATTAAAAAAATTAAAGAAAATAAACTATTAAAAAAATGAAAAAAACTCACAACGCCCCGAAGGAAGTAGAAAACAGGGAAAATGAACACACCAAAACAGTAACATAAAAAAAAGTAAAAAAGAAAAAGTAAAAAAACAAAACAAAATGGGCTGCAACGAATGACTCCAGCGTGCATGCACCCACACACAGACATGCGTCCACGCAAACAGTTGTGGGCGTGTCGTGCGTATGAGTGTGTCTGGAATGCGTGCCAAGTGACGGATACAGGGAGCTGCACAACACGGAGCACACAGCAGGGCAGCGGAAGCAAATGAAGCAAAACACAATCATTATTTTATCCTATTTATTTACATCGGACCACAGTGGATGCACACAAATCCCCGTGGTTGAGTGCTGGCACGCACAGCCCGCATACAATTCTTCAGCCCAGAGCGGTGTACGCCAGCGCGGATACGGCGAGCAGCAGCGTGGCACACACCCACGCAGAGCTGCTGAGGCTGCCGTCGATTTCGCGAAGAGGTGACGGTGCGCGGGTGGTAGTCGTGGTTGGCGCCTCTGTAGTCGTCGTAGTGCTTAGTGCCTGTGGCGCAGCGGTCGTTGTCGTCGTAGTGGTGGTGGTTGGCGTCCGTGTTGTAGTTGTCGTGGTCGTCGTTGTCGCAGTTGATGCATATGTTTTCTTATTTTGTTCATTTGACATATTGGTCTTATCAATATCTGCATCTTCAGTAGTGGGTTTTCCACCATCTCGATCCTGTGCATTATTGGAAGTAATTTGTAACTGTGGCGTCTCGATTACTGTACCCGTTGTATGTGACTGTTCCGTCCCTCCCACTTCATCCTTTATCTTTGGTGGAGAAGAAGTTTTACTTGACGGATCCGTTTCCTGACCTGGTTCCTCTGGCTTAGGATTTCCTGAAACGGAACCCTTTCCAGGTTCACCAGCTTTATCTTCACTCTGCGTCACGCACACGGACGGGCAGCAGCACAGGGCAAGCACCAACAGGGCGCACAGCAGACGGCACGTCATCATCGTGAGTTTGGTCGTTCAGTGGTGTGGAGCTGATCTGCACAGTGAGGGACATGGAGAGCAACAGGGGAGACGAGAGGTGCGGCAGACACACACAGAGGGCACACCACATGAGGAGAGGGCAGCAGCCAGGCATGCACCGTACGCCGCACACCACGCACGACACACACTCCAATCCACGGCAACAGGCACACACACACACAGCCCTGCCGCAACAAAAACACACAGATGGAAGAGGAAGAAGCAAACAGGAGCGGCACACAAGGCTCCACCGCATGCACATACGGCGAGAGCGGTCCGTCGTGTCGGCACCCCTCACGGAGGGTACGCACACACAAGAGGAGGTGCAGCGCACACAGCAACACAAAAGCAAAGTGACAATACAAAAAGGAGATCCCCGCACACCACGTGGATAGTTGGCCCACGGGAAGCGCAGCCAATATCCATCACAAAAACAATTCAGTTGCCTTCGGCCCTCGTTCATACTCAGCGCACACCACTTCATGCAGGCCTGGACACCACCCCAGCAGCAGCAGCCGCACACGCAAAAATGAACACAAGGAATGGAATAATGCAAGCAGCCATTTATTTGTGTTTCTGTTTGGATGTTGGCAGATGTCTGCATGCGTTTACTTTTGTTTTTGCGGAGGGCCAACCTTCATGCCTGGGTCGTGTGTTGGGGATTTCTGCAGGGTACACAATTATTTTTCTTTCCTCTTGTGAATGTTTCTTGTGTTGGTGCAGCCAACAATTCAGTTTGTGGTGTTCCTGCTTCTCTTTGGTAAAGTGCTGCAATAAAGAATAATCTTCCGGGCCGCTGCCGAATCCTGAGCTTCTCAATAATAGAAAACCAAACACGATAGAAATAAGTGAGGGACCAACGGAATAAGAGTGGATTCACCACATCCTCAAAGGCCTAACACCAGGTGACTGTATGTTTATATACCATCCGTCAGCCACAATCGTGGCCCGCTCACTCTCTTCGGGTAGGATACATGTATTTATTTATTACTTACGACGTGGCAGACTTTTGGGGTCCTGCAGCCACAAGACTCCGCCGCGTGGTGGAACCAAAAGGGGGTGGGTGCGATGGTAAAAATAAAAATAAAAATTATCCGGCCGCTGCCGGCTCCCTAAAGTCGTGGCCTTCCCAAAACTCATACGGCAGAAAAGTGTCGTACGGAAGTGTACATTCGTTTTGTCAGGGTATATATATACACATTCATCAAGGCAGCCGGCTCTCCCGCGATCATTCGCTACAAAAACTCCTAAAAGGGGCTCAAACACATCCACAAGCCTCCCAGCAAGAAAAAAGGGAAACACGGCGTGACTGACACGAATCAAATTCATGTTTCTAAGACAATGCGTGGATGACTCTGTCGACGCCACACCCGCACCACATGCCATCAACTCCTCCACGGCAATAATCCCGCAGCGTGCGGGGAGGACGTTTCACGAGCGCATTATTGGCGGAGCCAAACAACTGTACCGTCAGCAGAGGGCAGCGAGCAGCGGGGGAAGTGAAGGTGGTGGGACTGTTGGGGAGGGTCGATACGCAGTGTCCCTCACAAATACGAGGCGGGTGAAGCGAAACACACTCGCCTGAACGTCACCGGCCACCAGGATGCATTGCTCCCCGCTGTGAATATTGATGAGCTCGAGCCTGGAGCAACTACTCGCAATGCGTGAAAGCGTCCTCCTGCACTGACGCTGCGATTCACATTAGACGGGCAACTTCAGAACGGTCGATCCCCAGCAGTAAAATGCAGCTGGCAGTGACGTTGTGGATTCTCGATTCCCCGGCAACGGAGGGCGGGGAAGACAACTGGTCTCCCCAGCTGCGCGGCATCCATCCATTCACTCTGTGGGCTCGGAGTGCCCCGCAGCCGCCTTGAGAGATGCGGCGGACCGACCTCCCTTAGTTTCGCCTCGACCCGTCGACAAAGACTTTCGCGGTGCTGTCGGCACACACCGAAGTCTCCCTCGTGCCCGCCAAACAAAAGACACACCCGTTGAGCAGCGCCACGTGCATCGACGGCCACGCAAATAAATACCCACCGCAACGCAAAGTGTTTCTTATTGGGCACAAAAAGAAAACTGGAGGCAGCGGCCTGGACAACACACACAACAAATCACACGCCAGGCAACCCTGAGATACATGCGAAAGGGCCAACGCAGGACTAGCAGCACAACCACTCGAGAGCTGCTGCGTGAACTCCACGGTAAATGGATCAGCCCCAACGCATGGGGCACTAATTACGGCGGGTGACAGCGCAAAAGCCAACGGTTCCACAAGGCCGGGAATTGTGGGGACGGCATTCAAACCCTCCCGGGATTCGTGTGCCAAGACACGCAGATAATCCGTCCCTCGGTGCAAGTCGTCATCATAATCCTCATCGCTCTCTTTTTGCCGTCATTCGTATTGTCACACTCAAAGCCGGTGAGGGAAGGTGCTGCCATGATGATTGTGGCATCACACTGAATGAAAGAACACAATGCCTCGAAGGGTGCCGAGTGCAGGCATCCCGTCAGGAGGCGACACGGCGCATTCATAGCAATGTACGAAGCAAAGGCAACGAAACAGCTTTCATCCGCCATCGTAATCTCGTCCAGCAGGTTCGCCCTCTTGTTCCTCGGCGCCTCGTTCTCCGCAGCACCAACAGCCGCTGCCGTAGACCACGCTGCTGCTGCAATCACTCCCACAGAGAGACGGAGGAGCGTGTGGAAGTGTGTTCCGAGGGCACAGCGACTGTCATCGCCTGGAGAAGGCCATCGTGCAGCCGTGCTGCCATTTCAGCACGGAACGCAAGCCAACGTCCCTACCTTCGCCGAAACATTACTGCAGAGCACTGTGCAGCTACTTATGCGTGTGGGTATCTGTTGGAGGAGCAAAAAAAAGGAGCACAGGGAGGCACATCAACAGAGCAAGAGGAACAGCTGGATGACAGCGATACATGCGGTACGGACCCAACCTCAACAATCACGCACGGTGGCAGCACTCACAAAAAACAACAAAAAGCAAAGCAAAAAACACGGCGGCAGGGTGTGGCTGTGTGCGTGGCGCTGCGGGTGTCTGCCCGCCCTGGCCGCAAAGAAAACAAAACAAGAGGGGAAGAAATGTGTGCTCCGCCCCACAGGCCCTCGTCGCACGCCCACACGTCACGGCTCCCTCAGCGCGCCGTTCGTCGCGGCCCCTCCTCATGCGTGCAGCAGGCGAGGCGCACAGGGCCGTCGTCACGAGCGTGTCGGTGGGTGTGCGAGTGGAGCAGTTGGGCGGAAACACACGGCACCCCTCACAGGAAGAGTGCAGCAACAAACAATTAAAGAGGGAAGAGTAGAAAAGAAAAAAAGTCCTTAGTGATTGCCCCCAAGTCAACAAGCAAAAAAAAGAAAAGATGGTGGAGCACAAGATTAGGAAACAAAGGAAATTAAAAAAATTAAAGAAAATAAACTATTAAAAAAATGAAAAAAACTCACAACGCCCCGAAGGAAGTGGAAAACAGGGAAAATGAACACACCAAAAAAGTAACAATAAAAAAGAGAGTAAAAAAGGAAAAGTAAAAACACAAAACACAAAAAAAAAAACAGCTGCAACAGATGACTCCAGCGTACATGCATCCACACACAGACATGCGTCCACGCAAACAGTTGTGGGCGCGTCGTACATACGAATGTGTCTGGAATGCGTGCCAAGTGACGAACACGGGGAGCAACAACGCAGAGCACACAGCATGGTAGCGGAAAGAAGTGAAGCAAAACACAATCATTATTTTATCCTATTTATTTACATCGGACCACAGTGGACGCACACATGTCCCCGTGGCTGAGTGCTGGCACGCACAGCCCGCATACACCTCTTCAGCCCAGAGTGGTGTACGCCAGCGCGGATGCGGCAAGCAGCAGCGGGGCACACACCCACGCAGAGCTGCTGAGGCTGCCGTCGACTTCACGAAGGCGTGACGGTGCGCGGGTGGTCGTCGTGGTTGGCACCTCTGTAGTTGTATTACTTGGTGCCTGTGTAGTAGTGGTTGTGGTCGTTGTTGTCGTCGTGGTTGGTGCCATTGTTGTAGTTGTGGTCGTTGTGGTTGTCGTCGTGTTCGTCGTTTTTTCCACAGGAACCTCCAATTTTGGGTTTTTTGCGGATAGATCCACAGCGCTTGTTTTCCCTGGCTCACCGGACGCACGATCACTGCCGGACGTCCCATCGGTGGGGCTACCTTCTATGACTTGCGTACCGCCCTCACTTTCATTCTCTGACTCTTTGCTCTTCACTTCTGAGCTCCCATCCGTTACTTTTTGCTTACCGTTTTTCCCATTTATATTTTTTTTTGCATCGGAGTCCGTACGGGGGTTATCTCCTTCCACGACAACCGCTGTCGCGCACACTAACGGGCAACAGCACAGGGCGAGCACCAACAGGGCGCACAGCAGACGGCACGTCGTCATCATCGTGAGTGTGGTCGTTCAGTGGTGTGGAACTGATCTGCACAGTGAGGGAAATGGAGAGCAACAGGGTAGACGAGAGGTGTGGCAGACACACACAGAGGGTACACCACATGAGGAGAGGGCAGCAGCCAGGCATGCACCGTACGCCGCACACCACGCACGATACACACTCCATTCCACGGCAGCAGGCACACACACACAGCCCTGCCGCAACAACACACAGATGGAGGAGGGAGAAGCAAACAGGAGCGGCACACAAGGCTCCACCGCATGTGCATACGGCGAGAGCGGTCCGTCATGTCGGCACCCCTCACGGAGGGTACACACACACAAGAGGAGGTGCAGCGCACACAGCAACACAAAAGCAAAGTAACAATTAAAAAAAGGAAGAGATCCCCGCACACCACGTGGATTGTTGGTCCACGGGAAGCGCAGCCAATATCCATCACAAAATAACTTTTTATATTGTTTTTCTCGCGCCGGAATGAGCAAATAGCGCAAGGGTTCCCCGTACAAAAGTGGCAAGTATGCCGTCGCAAACAGGCCGTCGTGCAGGCTGGAGCAGTCCCAAACAGTCACATTCCATATTCTCAACGACAGGACATTACCAAAGTGGATGAAGCGGAGTCTCCCGTGGTCCGTCGGGGAATCAGCAGCACGTGGCGTCTGTGATGAGGCGGTGGCGGAAGAGCCTGGTCCATCTCGAGTACCCGCGTTTGTGCTTCCTGCGTGTCTTGCCTACTGGCATGCTTGGATCTTCGGTGGCGACCAGCGCGCGAGGTGCCTGCTAAGAAGACGATGAAACCATTGCGGCATCCGCAATTGAGGAATTCTCAAACTATCGGAACGCCAGGCTGAGCACGTCGGGCATGTGCCGTCACGCTGCGGACAAACGGGCGCACTCTGCCGCAGATTGAGCAGGTGAATGTCAATCCGCCGCTCGCTGGTCGGCAAGAAGTTGCGGAGTTCTCGTCGGGAAGAGGTTCCGGCGGAGGCAGAGGCGGGCCGGTCTCCTCCGTAAAGAAAGGGACGGCACCACCGACACAGGGAGTTCCTTGTGATCCGCAGGGCGCGCGGGCCTGTCGAAGAGTGGGCAGGAGTCGCATCGCGCCTGTGCGGAGATCCGCCACTCGGGCGCGATTTTCGGGTCAACACCAGGAACAGAGTTCCGCCACACCGTCAAGCGCCCGTCATGCGGTGTGTGCCCTTCTTTTCCCCCTGGAATTTATTTCAGTACGGCCGCCTGACTGCAGTGAGGAGGCCCACGTGCCAGGCATTGACGCGGTCCTGCGGGAGGGATCGTGCCATGATGGCATCAGCGTCCGCTGTCACGTTGCGTGGGATACCGCGGTGTCACGGTGAGCATTTGAAGCCAACAGTGCGAACTCGATCCACCAGTGAATGCGGCACGGTACAAATCTCCTCGGTGACGTCATCGTGCGCCGCCAGCGAGCCAAGACGGAGTGACTCCATCGCCGAGAGGGAGTCTGTGGCGGCAGGAATTCGTGTGGACGATTGGGATGCTGCTGCCAGGCGGGGAACTGAAAACTGTCTGTGGCCAAGCTCAGTGGCAGGACACTCCACACGGCAGGAGCACGCAAGGCTGCCGGCAGCTGCGCGGTGAGGCCCCACAGGGAGCGCGGCTGTCCGGGGAGTAAAGCGGCAGCGCGGCGGATCCAGACGCATGCTCAACAAGAGGCAACGAGCCGTACACCGCCAACACAGTTGCCAGCGACTAATAACACGTTGACCATGAATAGGGCACGTCTGCCCGCACCGCCGTGGGCACGGGCAGCGGCCCTGATTCACTCAGCAACAGCGATCTAATGCCCTTGGATGGTGCAACAGCCACGCCTGAGCCCAGAACAGCCCTAGCAAATGCTGAACGAGTGATAACGTGTCGTGTGGCACTGATGCCGCACAGGATTATTTGCGCACAACGTCTGGGAAACCAGAGATCCCATCGGAGCACAACGCAGCATCACTTGTGAGCAACGGTTCTTGTGAGCACGGGCATTTCACGGATTTGTTGGCCATGGCCGAAATTGGTGACAGCACCGTGCGTGGGTGTTTGTCTCGGGTGTTGTTGCTTCTGCTTCTGGGGCTGTGAGACACTGCGGCACTCTGCTGAGGTGTGAGGGAGGGTGGAACTGCGGCTTTTCGTGGAGCAATAACTGTGCAGCTTGCCAGCATTACCCACTGAGTTTTGTCAATAATTTAAGCTTTTTAATTTTCTTTTATTTATTTATTTTTGCTGCCTTTGCCCTATTGGAATAATTAGCATTCCTGTGTTTCTCCCAAATGGTTGCCTGCCGCGCACTGTCAGGAGTGACGTGCTTCTACCTTTAGTTTCCCTCCGTTGCCCACACGCGATGCTCCACACCCGCAGGAAATTAGACGCGGGCTGCGCACTCCCTCCTCCCTTCTCCTCATGGCCGCGGAGGAAGACAACAGCCGCCACACGCAACTGCCAGCATGCACTGCAAAAGAAGCATTCAAATCCACTGCAATGTGCATCTTGTGTGTGTGTGGTTGTGTGTGCCTGCAGAAACACAAAGCAAAGAAGTAGAAAAGAAAAAGAAGCAGAGTATGTGGAGGGACGCACAAAATGTACAACGGAGGTGCATGGCAGAAGCAACAAGAAGAAGACCGCTCAAACTCATGACTGCACTGCAGCCAAAGCAGCGGCAATTCACACAAAATTTATTCAAAAAAAAAAAAAAGCTTTCCCCCTCATCTTACACAAACCCCATCACACAAAATAATTATAAATAAAAAGAAATCGTCCATTGCTGTTCCACACAAATTTAAAAGAGACAGCCGGCTGCCGTGTGGCCACACCAAACCGTCTGCATATATTTTGCCCAAAAATAAAATTAAAAGATATTTAAATGTCTTTCAGCCGTCCGACCCTCTGTGTGTCCGCACATCGTTTATATTTCACGGGGTCATCTGCGTGTTGCTGCTCCCCTCAGCCCTCTCATCGGCGCGTGAGTGCGGCCCGCAGAGCACAGTCACTCGTGTGTGTGGGGACTGAGAGAAGCACGCAGACATGACGGGAGTCGCGTCACTCCACCGGGAGAGTGAGCGCAGCAAAAAAAAAAAAAAAATGTTAAAAACACGGCGGCAGGGTGTGGCTGTGTGTGTGGTGCTGCGGGTGTCTGCCCGCCCTGACCGCAAGAAAACAAAACAGGAGGGAAAGAAATGTGTGCTCCGCCCCACAGGCCCTCGTCGCACGCCCACACGTCACGGCTCCCTCAGCGCGCCGTTCGTCGCGGCCCCTCCTCATGCGTGCAGCAGGCGAGGCGCACAGGGCCGTCGTCATGAGCGTGTCGGTGGGTGTGCGAGTGGAGCAGTTGGGCGGGAAACACACGGCACCCCTCACAGGAAGAGTGCAGAAGAAACAATTAAAGGAGGGAAGAGTAGAAAAGAAAAACCGTCCACGGTGATTGCCCCCAAAAGCAAAGGAGGGATGGGGGATTAGAAAAAACACGCAAAAAAAAGAAAGTAAAAAAAAAAAAAAGTGAAATCAACCAAAAAGAAGCAAACAGTAAAATAAATTTAAAATACGCAAAAAAAAAGGATTTATGAGTGGAATTTGTTCCCATGGGGAAGTAATTCGGTGCCGAGTTGTTCCACGCCGAGACCACACACTCCTCAAGAAGCGGCAATCCCCCACAGTCCCAGCAGAAGGAGCAGCGGCAGCAGTCCGCCTCCGCAAACAGCGCTGCCATCACCATTTGCCCCAAAGTGGCGAGCGGCACCGACACCCGTTGCTCCTGCCGCCACTGTTTTCAGATCTGTCAGCTTTGGAATAGAAATTTTGTTTGCGTTGAGGACGCGGATCTCATTGTCATCCAACGGGCGTTTGTACAGCAGGACATTCGTCGCGGTCACAGGCACGTCTTCCTTGCTCCCTGCGCTGCCTCCATCCCCTCCAATGTAGAAGTGGGAGATTCCTTTCGAATCCGTGTTGTTCAATTCACATGACGCATCTCCCACACGCTGACCATCGACGTACGCGGAGCCCTGGGTGCCGTTCCGTAGCACAATGGCCACTTGGTGTGTTGTCTCTGGCTCCCAATTACTGCGGAGCTCCTTGGTCGTTTTGCCACCGCACAGCAACTGCCACTTCCCCTCTTTGTCGTGCGACAGTCCCAGGAGCACAGTCTTCTTGTTGTCATTCATCGTCGCACCCATCAATGGAATGGGGGTATCTCCCTTCGGTTCACCGTGGACGGACAACGTCGCCACAAGAGTGAAGTTGTGGTTCGCAAAGTGGTACAGCTGATTCTCCCCCTGCGCGCCAACAGGCCACTCCGCCCACGCTCCATGGAACGTCACTCCATCCGCATACCCTGTTGCCACCCCATTCGTTCCTTTCTTTACTGTGGCGTTCACCCCGAGGTACTCGTCCCTCCATGTGTTATCAGAGAAGTTGCCGGAAAAAAAGCCAACCAGCCCATCCGTGGTCTTAACAGCGCTGCAGCCACTGCCAGTTGAAGGATTCTTCGCAGCAGTTGAAGGGCACAGCTTGGAGACACGGCCGTCCACTTCCTTCCAGGTCGCCAGCACCTCCCTCACCCGCTTCAGCTGCGCAGTCAGACGCACAGAGACCATGCCGAGTGATGAGTTCCCATCGCCCTTCTTCTCGTACAGTGCAATCAACCTCTCATTAGTATTATTTCCACCTCCAGCACTTTTGTACAGCAGGGAGCTGGCGGCAGCGTCATCATCACCGGACACCGGCCCAATATCAACAATGTGCGTATTGTCCGTCAGCCAAAGATGAAGTTCACGCTTTTCTTTTCCCTTTCTGTTTGAATACACCGGCAGAGTAACGAGCATCACGTCCCTGTTCTCAATCGTCGCTGTGCTGAAACCGCTTCCAACGCCCTTCTCATGTCGCTTTTGGTTGTTGCCCCACACGCGCGAGAGTGTCCCGAGGGCCTCCGTCCACGACTCCCCCTTGTCACCGGACTCGTACACCCTGCGGCGGCCATCATCGCACGCAGTCATCATCATGAGTTTTCCCTTCCACTCCACGACGGAGGGATCACTGCAGCCATCGGCAGACATCCCCTTCGACAGATTCCCACTCGCATTGTCTGAGGAGTATATGATCAGCGAAACGACCTTTCCATCCTTCGTCCCTTCCATCGGGAACACAAACGTACCGTCCTTCATCTGAACACCCGATCCACCGCCGCCAATCAGCCCTGTCAAGGATTTGTGTTGGTTTTCAAACTCAGTCCACGGGATAACGGAAGCGTCTTTCCAATAAATCTTTTTTTTACCGCTGCTCCCATCATTACTGACGTTTCCCACAGCCACCAAAAGTCCCCATTTAGCTGCTGCAGCTGCGTTATCAGCTGCCTTATCAGTAACTTCAAAACTGTAGGTTCCAGCAAACATGTAAATAACACTCCCATTCACAACTGTTGTTGGCCGGCTCACACGTACTTTCGTCCGGTTTTGGGAGGCATTCTGAGTAACGTTTAGGAAAGGAAACTCCCCTTGTTCAACCTGAAATTTCTCCAGTACTTGTGTCTTCAGTTTGGTTGTATCCAATTCTTTTGATTCTTTATCGGTCCACTCCAGGAGCTCCGAGGCAATCCCAGTAAAACCGCTTTCATCCTTCAACTGCGCCTCGGCAACGGCAAACACGCCACCATTCATCTCAACAAGAACTGGAACACGTAAAGAACTCACTGTTTCTCCTTCATTCTTATCTCTCCAAAAAAAATATGTTTTCGGTAAAGATCTCAGACTTGAAGTCCCATTATCAGTGGCTGCAGCTCCACCAGTGCCGCAGCACATCATCACGACGAGGAGGAGCAGCACCGCGGAAGCAAACACACGCCGGGACATGTTGGGCCTCTCCGGCTCACTCTCTCTTCCTTCCCTCCTCCTCCCGCTGGATCCGGTCACGCGGCGACGGTTGTGTGTGCGGGGTGCCATCACTGCAGCAACACGTGAGAGCATACAAATATGTGTGTGTGGGCGGTGTGTGTGCTGTTGGTCCTTTTGGTGCCTTCGAATTTCACAGTAGCGATTAGCGCTTGTTTTCTTTCTTCGTAAGAGAGTGAAAAGAAATGAATAAAAACAGGCTAATAAAATATGGGTGAAAGAATAAGCACCGTCATCCACAGTGAGTGGCACCATCATCCCCGCCGCAGTCACTCCCCACAACAACAACTCACGCACACAGACACACGGAACGAGAAGGAAGAACAGCGCACCGGGAACACACAGCGACTGCCACCACCAGCAGCAGGAGTCACGGCGGGTGTGTCGTTATTCACGCGTCAGTACACACCGAGCGACGCCCACACACGATAACAACCAGCGGGAGGCAAAAGAGCACAACCGCCCTCGAAACACCGACACGCTGCCGTCCGTCGTTCAATTCTTGTCCCTCCATCGCACCCGCTCCGCCGCTGGCGCACATCACCCCACACAGCCAGAGAATCCCACATCGGCCGATGAGCAGCAAAAGAGAGACGGCAGCACGTGCAGCTGGTGTGCGGGAGGCGATACGCACGTACCCCAGGCACCCTCAATGACACACCACCCAATCAGCTGCATGCCGCCAACACCACACCAGCAACATGTCAGAAAAATGAAATGCAGGCTTTTTTCCCCCTCGCAAAAGCCACCGCAGCCAGAATCTTCTGCGTACGTGCGTTTTCAGCGTTCACGCCGCTCCAAAGCATGTACGACGTGGCGTGTGTTTGCGTTTGTGTGTGTGTGTGTGTCTGTGCGTATTTACATGTGCTTGTGTGTCTGTCAATGCCTATACTTGCAGGGCGGCTGTGCGGCACAAGAGCGTCCAAAGAAAGCAACGGCGGAGAGAGAAGCGGATAGCACTCACGCACTCCCACGGCGTCGGAACAGACGATCTTCTGGAAACCCAAATCGGCGGCTGTGGGCATATTGGTGCAGCAGTGGAGAAGGTTGCGGTGACGGACATTTTCTTGCCAACCCAAATTGAACGTAAATCTGCTCTTTTCCCTTGTGGCTACCGTCGGAATCGTTGTCCGCGGGATCGGCATAGCCGGGCGGAAAAACTAGGCAATGAATGAGGAGGTTCTTCGTGAAGACACTCTCATCAGGGGCGATTCCTATAACTTCTCCGCGAAGACTTCGGTGGCCGTTGTTTGAGGATACTTGATGCCTCCAGCTGCTCGTGAGATCCGCCAGCTAAAAGCGTTTTGCGACACCTCGTGGCCCGGGTGGAACAAATGGCCGCGCCGCAGGAAGGCACTTGCCCGTGACGACCTTTTTACTCCCGCTCGCGGGGCGTTCCTTCGCCGCAAGGGCTTTTTATTCCGTTCTGCCTGGCCGCCGCGCTTCCCTCTTTTCCGCGTATCCCCTCCTCCTTGTTTCATTTCGCCGCCGCGCTTCGGCCCATGGGAGGCGCGGCGCCATCATGTCGGCCCCACTCCGCGTCAAACGCCGCCCTCTCATGGGAGGACACGTGTGCTGCGCGTGTTTCCGGGCGGCGGGGACGTCTCGTCACCAGCCCGCCACCTCCCAGAGACGCTGGTTGCGGGTGGCAACGCGATTGGGGCGGTCCAAATGCTTGGCATCAACCAAAATGAGAACGATGCTTTAGCGGTCCACTGTTGTTTTGCCTCGAATGAATGCGGAAAATAAAATCCAATTTACACCAAAGGAGCCTGAGAGAAATTCAGGGAAGTTCTTTGCAATTGTCAAGGCTTCAGCGGACAAAGACAACATATCACTGCGGATGTTTCTCTTCTTTTTACCGTTGTGCCATTGCCATTTGGGATCGTTTCACTGCGTGAATAACTTCCGACAGTACTTTGTGGCGTCTCGGCTTTTGTCTCTCTCTTCAACTAGACGACCCCTTCACTGTCATGAAAACACACGCTGACGGAACTTGACCGACCCACGACACAGAGGGCAATGAGTCACATTTGTTGCGCATGCATCGCATAGGCAATAATGTCCACATGGAACGAGCACCGTTTCCTTGGGAGAAAAGCACACCACGCACCTCTCATGCTCATCCGTCTGTTTATCATCGTCACCATTTTCTAATCCATGACGCAATCGCTGTGAGACTGCTGTCGCATGGCCTTTTGATGGTGAGCTGACGCCTTCTTCACCAAAACAAAGCGGGATTAAGCCCTCAGCTGACAGCAACTGGCACAGCTTCTTGACGACATCACAAAGTGAGGATGAAACTGGATGCCATGCTGCTAGCTCCGGCGTGTGACAACGTCCGGTAGCATCAACGTATTTGTGGTTGCTCGCTATCCTGCAGCCTTGTTCCGCGCTGAGGAGAAACACCAGAGGAGGCTCAATGGGGTACAAGCGCGTCAGCCATATCTGCAAGGGCAAGACATAACGATGTGGTGGCGCTTGTTCACGGCCGTCTGGGGTTAAAGAAGTGTGGTCGCTGTTGCTCTTCTTAATAGTAATGGGAAGCCCACCATAGATGCAAAGTTTTTCCTGTTGTGTCACTCCCCAAGTGGCGTCACGACAGTAGAAATGGAAGGTGTTGCACAAATTCTCGACGTCGTGAAGGATGCGGCCCAGAACCTCAGGCTTACAGTGTGAGGAGCAACTAAAGAAGCGAGTAATAATTTCGTTCATGTTACGTTTGATTGTATGCTTTCCCCTAAAGGGCAGAAGGAAGCCCCTCAGGAAAGGGAGAATAAACCATGCAGCAATAATAAGGTTGTGGGGACCTCGTAGAAAGAGGGTCACAGTGTCTTCTTTTCCAGTTCGCATTCCCATTCGTAAACCAAATACAGAGCCTCCCTCTCTCTCTTTCTCCATATATATATAGTACAAAGGAAATAGCGGGTGCGCTGGAGAAGGAGATTTCACCACCCATATAGGTATTCAATTACAGAAAAAAGTCTCTCGCAGAAACCCGCATCTATGGGCAGGAGAAAAGAGATGGAAATTCACTCGGTGGGTGAAAAACGGCCCGAAATCACTTCAAAAGCGGTTTCTCCAGCGGGCTCCATGCGTGTGTCGCCTTTCGTCGGCTGCATCGGAAGGCAACGTGGATCCGCGCCTTGAAAACGCCATGCCTCCGGTAACGATGTATAAGATCGGGAAAGAATTATTTTCCACACGCCCATTCCTCAAGCATGCGGCACGTGCAAGAATCCCAAGCTCGCATCGCCAAGACAAGTTCCATAAACCAACTTTCCAAATCGATGGAACGCAATGTAAATTTCCAGAATCCAGTGCCAAATATGAGTCCATTGCGTTTCTGCTGCTTGTTCATCGTGTTTTTTTCCAAATAAATTCCATAACCCACACGCCGGCCACCGTCCTCGAGCACGTCCGCCCTGCCGAGTGGAAACGTAAAAGGAGGTCCCGGCCCCGGAGAGGGCGTGAAACGCACACGATACGCCATGCCACCGAGCTAGCACGATGGAACGATGATCCCCCGCCGCCGAGAAACAATGCAACAAGGAGCTACACAATTAAAGGACTATTGTTGAGTTCAACAACGTCGCTTTTCATTTCCATAATTGCCGAAGAGGAAATTACACCCTCATGGCCATAAATTCTAAACCAAAAGCGGATTCTACTCAAAATAATGGTGCCACTCTTTTTCAGGTGTTGGGCTAAGCACATCTTTTCCTACCACCGGCATCCCGACAAAATTATTTTGCCGTCAAGTTGAACATTTGTTCAACAGAGCCGCTGTTCTCCCAATAAGCGCACCGCACGGCGTGACGCCAGTTTGCGCAAACAGTTCTCCTTCCTAACACTGCGTCCCATCGAGCAAAACAGCGCCTCACGATAAATAAATAAATAAATAATGGAAAATAAACAAGCAACCGCCGACGTCTCGCACGCACTAAAAGCTCCGGCAACCAGAGAACAAACACCCCTTCACAGGTGCTCGTATAGAAGCAAATAGCTATTAATCGCCCACCGCAGTTTGCTGCATGCCAAACGTCCCAGTGGCAGAGATAACAACCCACAACCGCCTATACAAAGCAATATTGGGCTGGGCTGCTGGCCGGATCCTGAAATGATCTAAAGAAGTCAAACATGACGGATGAAGAGAAAAGTTAAATAGGGAGGCCGTGGGTTCGCCACCTCCTCAGTGTCTGCTCCAAGAATATATATTCGGACTGCCACTGTCATGACACGATGTACTTTGTTAGTACTAGATATATTATAACTCACGAAGTGGCAAACTTTGGACTCCTCCTGCCACAAGACCCCGCCGCTTCCCTTCGCCAAGTCCTGAAGTGTAAACACGCGAGCACGCGATATGCCGTCTGCGGGGTTTTCTGCTGGCACCACGTAGGCAAAGGATGCCTGTATCCCGCGAGACTCCAAAAACTCATTTTTCCGTTGCGGCTCCCGCGTCAAGGCATGTGATTTCGAGCTGCCTTTATTCGCCGCTCCTTGCAGCAAAGTATTGTCACCAACATGTCGATGGTGGACCGAGAAATGGGAAGGCAACCAAAAACAAGCTGCGCACAGAGAGCACCTCGGCCCGCATGATAACAAGAAGGCTTCCTCCTCCATTTTCCTCCAGTAATATTAGAGTAACAGGGGTTTGAAAGAACTCAAAACATATTCGACCATGAATAGAACAATCAGTCCTAACGGCACACGAGTACTAGGCGTAATTGATGATACACCTAGGATTGTCCTCAATAATGTGTCTTAACCCCTCACCGTCACCTCACCCCACGAGGCACACACATAATGTGCCCATTGTATGTATGCATGCACACCCATGCAGGCCCGTTGGTGCTCTCTTTTGCACGACACGCACCGCTGCCGTCCTGCCTGGCTGCATGGGCGGAGCACCGTAACTGTTTCTGTTTTGTTTTTATTGCATTGAGTGGGCGACCTCTCTCTCTCTCCCTCTGTGTGTGTGTTTTGCTTTACGGGAGCAATGAGAGTGTGTGTGCTGGTTGCCCCACGCTTTATCTTATTTTTTATTGCTTTACTTGTTTTGTGGTTGGTTTTACTCATTCCGCGGGCTGTGTGTGTGTGTGTGTGTGTGTGACGATATGAGTAATCTCCTTGTGTGCTATCTGTATCTCTTTGCCGTTGCCTTCTCTTGCTCCTCTTGTGCCGTGCAGCTGCTCTGCAACTGTAAGCACTGAAAAACACACGGCACACTAAAATACACACAAGCACACATACGCCATGTCGCTCACGCTGTGGAGCGGTGTGAACCCCGAGAACGCACGCACGCACAAGCTTCTGGCTGCTGCGGCCCTCGCCAACGTTGCGGTGACGCTGAAGGCGTGCGAGTACGGCCGCGAGAACGAGACGGCGGAGTACTGCCGTAACTGCAGCCCGTGCGGCCGCTACCCCGTGCTGCAGACGGAGGAGGGCTGTGTGTTCGAGTCCAACGCCATCCTGCGCCACATCGCGCGCCTTGACCGGAGCGGCGGCTTCCTGTACGGCCGCACGCCGCTGGAGGGCAGCCAGGTGGACATGTGGCTCGACTTTTCGGCAACGGAGCTGGACGCTGCCTCCGCACCGTTTGTGCACCACGCCTTCCGTGGCGAGCGCGGTTCTTTATTATGTCACTTTTTTTTTTATTTCTCTCGAATCGATTGTATGGCGCGCGTTGCGGTAACTCGTGCCTACGGGCTTTATGGTGTGGCAGCTGCGCCCCAGCAGAAGGTGTTTTTTTCCGGGCGGTGTTCTATGCGTTCGGCCATGTGCCAACAACCGTTCTGTGGGGAAAGCGCTGTTGTATTTTGGCTTGCCATAGAATTGTGTCCGTGTTTTGCGATAAAGTGACTCTTTTACCGCGACGGGATGGTTAACTATCAGATAATCAGGGCAGGGGCACAGCTTCCAATGGCAGGGCGCGTTTCTGGCAATGTCTTTTGCAAGGCTTTGTGGTGGTAAACATTTTTGCAGTGATCGACGCCTTCCAAATAGACTTTTTTTCTTTTTCGTGCGCGCCCTAGCGTTACATGGAAACCCGCATTCCATCCAACTATTCTGCGGGAAATTCGCGTCGTGGTACCCTTTGCGGCGCGGAAATCGGCGCCACGACGGGTGGCGGTAGCGTCCGCACAATGCCCTTTTTTTTCCCGCACGCCTTGTTCCGTGGTCGCGGCCGGCGTGGCTGCTGTGCTTTTTTGCAGTCCTTGATGAACTAACGCCCCACGGTTTCGCAAGAGATTGCCGTTTCCAGAGCCCGTTGCAGGGCATAAATCCCAAAATCCGCGAGGTTACCGAAAAATGCTTGCTTCTTGCGGTGTGTTGTTGGCGCTTGCGGCTTCCTCTTTGCCGTTTTCGCTTTTCCCAGAGGACGCCGTGGCAGAAACACGCGGAAAAACAACGGCAACATCGCCCAGGATCGGTGCTGCTGGCGTTCGCTTGTTTGTTTTTTTTCAATTCTCGTCCATGAAAAAATAAAAAAGTTTGGGAAAAACTTATGCCGCGACCCGGGATCGAACCAGGGACCTTCAGATCTTCAGTCTGACGCTCTCCCAACTGAGCTATCGCGGCGACGGCTGTCCCTTCAAGTTACATACGTCATTAGACTTCTCAATAGCGTTTTGAGACCAAAAAAGTTCCGATACCGGGAATCGAACCCGGATCTCCTGGGTGAAAGCCAGGTGTTCTAACCGTTATACCATATCGGATGTATAACCGAGAAAACTTTTCCATGACGCAAAATATTTCATAAAAAATGAATTTCTATTTTTTTGTTTTTGTGAAATAATTCTCAGCGTTGCGATGGTCGTCTAGTGGTTAGGACATTCGCCTCACACGCGAGAGATCGCGGGTTCGATCCCCGCCCGTCGTAGTTTTTTCAGCATCGACGCTTGGAAAAGGGCCCGAATGAAATCAAAGGTTCCGAGGTGCGTGGAAGGTTTTTCATTTTATTTTTGGATCTGCGGGCCTGTGTTGTCAGAGGTTCGCGGAGAGAATCCATTATACGAATTTGTTATTTTCCAGCCGGTCCTGCCGATTGGGTGAATGTAATTGGCGTTTCTGGCGTGCGACGGATGCTTTGTTTGTGGTTCTGGATTTTCTTTTTTACTTCTTTATTTTTTCCATTTATTTATTTGTGTTGTACTGTATTTAGCTCAATGGATGTTGCGGAAGCAGATTGGATTTTGGAGCGTTCTCCACCCGATGCTCTCAACAGGGCGATTTCGACAGTATTTCGTCGTCTTTTGGCGAATATTGTATTGGAACCTGAAAATCCAAAGTATCATGTAGTCCGAGAAGAGAATAAGTTTATCCGTGATACATTAAACCCACTGCCAAACAGTGTAGTAGAAGCCTTATTCGCAGGCATAGGGTTTAAGCGAACGCAAAAAGCCAATTCAGAGACAATTTATGTTTTTACAGGAAATACTGAAAATATCAAGGAGGCAGATTATTTTCTATCGCACTTGGAAGATCGTATAGAAAAAGGACAGAGAAAAGAAGCAGAAATGCATTTCGTTCCACCAGAAACTAAAGTAAATCGAGAACGAGAAGAAAGACGCCAGCAAGTTCTTCAAGAAATCCAACGGGATGCGGAAAAACGTCAGGGTGAGACAACTGGGAGCGAACCCCCAACCCTTATAAATGCCTTTTATCCCGGTGACTACACATTGGTGGAGAACCTAATAGAAAAATCGAGGCGAACTCTTCTAAGTACAGGAAGAGTGCGAAATTTTCTCTTTGAAGGACGACACTTTACCTTGCGACGTATGGCTCATGGAAGGGTATATGTATGTAAAGAAGGATGTGGAACAGATTTTCTGGAGGCGCATTGGCATCTTTTTACCGGAAAGAATTTGATGTACTCCTATGTGGCTCATCTGTCACCAGATGCATCTGCCATGATGCATCTTGGAGTTGAGCATGGTTATCAGTACAACTCTTTGCCAGGCACAAAAAACTTTCGAAGAACAGTTCATTTTAGCGCTAAACGAATAAATGAGACGAATGGCTTACTGGAATATATCGAACACCCTGATCGGCCTTCGGAAACATGTATTTATTGTGGCAAACCCTTTTCAGAGTTGTTTCTTTGAAGAGTCATTGCTGAAATACTTTGGATTATAGTTTATTTATTATCATTATTTTATAAAGGTCTCTATCAGCTACTATAAATTTTTAATTCCATTTTTTTTATTTGTTTTCTTTGCTTGTCATTATATTGAAATGATTAAAAAAATTTTTTCTTTTTTTTTTCTATGGGAGATCATTATTTTATTTTATTTTTTGCCCTTTATACCTAAATAAAAACGCAAATATTCAATCATATATACACAAACACACCAAAGTATGAGGGAAGATTGGTATTGATGCCTCCACGAACAAATATCCTGAATGTTCATTGCCAATTACATAAGCTCGTGGCTTAGCACATATATACGTTGGTTTACCAAGCATTGGAACAGAAATTCCATCTCGGTAAGCATTTTAAAAGGTTGCATTGAACTAAAGGATATTGAATTAAGCACAGATATCACAGCATTTTTAAGGGCATCTATTCCTTTAGAAAGGGCCAGTGTGGGACGGTTACGGCTGACTGTTCCCTGGACAGCACTATATTCATGCCAATGTGAACTTTTTCTTGAGGATGTTCTGGCTGTTTTTAAAAACCATTTTCAAGAGGAAGTTGCTGATGACGAGGGGAATCCTCTTGAGGGGAAAAAAAGAATAGTTGAACTTTTGGACGCCATTCGATATAAATCACAAGGGAATACCGAAACTAAACGTCAAGGGTTTTTAGAAAGACTTAAATGGGTTATATTTCGTAATATGAAATTAGTTGTTAAAAATTTTACGGTGAGGTATGAACTAATAGGAACCTCTCCTCTCAGTGCTACAATAAGGCTACAATATCTGTCATGTATCGCGGCCAACGCTATGAATGAGCCATTTTTTGTCACAGATGATGAATGCGACCTTTATCGGATTATTTTGTTTCAAGGGCTTTCTTTTACTGTAGCTTCTTTGGATTGTATAGAAACTTCTAATCGATCATGGCGCACGGATTCCTTGCATTCTTTTACATCCTTTTTAATTAAAGGAATGGAAAAGGAGGTAGAAAAGTTTGGTTACGTTTTAAAACCCTCTTCAGGAAGAGCATTTGGATCTTTACAATTCCAACCTCCTAAGTTGCAACTTGGGGCATTTATTTTGGTTCATAGTTGTGGAATAGATTTGGACTTTAAAAAAATTCAGGGATTATTGATGATGACTTCATATGTTGTTTCTTTTTGGCCATGTGACAAGGATGAAAAGAAGTTGCGACCAATAGAAAAACCAAGTACTGTCATACCCGGAAGTTGTGCCGCTTGGTGGAGGTATAGCATAGATCGAATTATATCAAATACACGGGGTTGCGTAAAAAGAACAGCATTTCATTGGGCCACATACCAAGAATGGAAGTGTCATTCGGAAGAGTATTACAAGCATTATCTCTTGACCCTAGGGGCTCCTTGGCTTTTTGGAATTGATGTGAATAAAACGATATTGGAAGAAGCATTGAGCTCTTTTTCTATCGGATATCTCATTCAGATTCGACAAGAAGCAAGGTTTACTTTGGAAGAGTTTCGTTTAACTGGAAGGGTTTTTCCCCGACACTATGGGGATACAATTTCCGATCGAGGATTTGGTTACAAGGTAGCCGTTGTGGAGGTGCTGAAAGATAGCGTGGTGAATTCCCCAATGCAGTTAGAAGTATCTATCTCTCTTGGAGTTCCTAAACTGCCTCTTTTTCTTAGGGGACACAACATGCATTTTAATATCGATTTGACAGATATGTCTCTTCGAGTATCTCGCTCTGCTGATCTACTTCAGATTCTTTTTTCTGCGTATTCAATTCAAGCTTTTTCAGAAGTTTCAGGTTTCAATCGCGTCAATACTGTTTTTATTATTGATGGAACTAAAACCACCAAAGGTGTTGTTGTTACCTATTTGCGAAATGGTAAGAATAAGGATCTTTCTTTCGTTTTGACTTCTTTTAAAATTCGATATAACCAATGCATTGCGGGAAAGCTGATCGCTGAATTTTACATGCTTGAGTCGGAAAATGCACTTGGTTGGGATAATTTTGTGCTGTATTCGCTCCACGATGTGGCTTATCCACTGAAAACTCAAGTGAACATTGGAAATACGGCGTTAAAGTTGGGGAAGCTAGAGGTTTGCTTTGAGGACTTAAGTTTTGAGGTTCAATGGAGATGTTCTCGTTTATTCGTGAGTGAGATTTCTAATTCACCGTTTATTGATTTAAAGAACGTCTTTCTACCCTATACAACAGACTCTTCCATTTTTATTGAGGAGTCCTACATATGTGGCGATCTTTATAGTTTTTATGTATTGAAAAACATGATACAAGATATGATGGTTATATACGAGCCGATTATGTATTGGTTACGGAAAAGGGATACAATATATTCTACAGAAACAATGAATATATTTGAATTGAAATCACCTTTTTTTATGGTGACATTACCTGGGGAAGGTACTTTTTTAAAAATACGGCAATTTGCCATTCATTTATCACTGGGCCCAACCTGGATATTGAGGGCTAGTTGTATAGGAATGGCATGTGATGGAGTATTAAGTGATACAAATATGCACTTAATGGTTCTTGGAGGAACCAATAAGAAGGAAATTTTTTTGGATGGTCCCCTGAAAAATTCGGATAGTGATTTAATAGTATCTGCTACATTTGAAGAGGGACATCTCATTGTTGACAATAGACTTGTGGATTTAGTTGAATTTTTGAACGATCTACTTTTCGCAATGCTGTTCCCTGCCGAAATAAATCCACCTGTGTTCCTTGATGAAAGCGTGATGATTCCCTCACTTGAAGTCCTTATTTCATGTAGCAACTTATCTTTTGATGTTCTTGGAGAATCTTCTGGCACGTGGAATTTGCCATTTCGTTTGTCTTGTAATGGTCAAGAAAGCCTCTTGGTGGAATTTAAGCGGTTTCCAGACACCCACATGAACACTACTGTCACCTTTGGACGTTGTTTTTTATGTAGTGTGGATGAGTTTACATTAATCCTCCCTTCCTATTCCAATAAAGGAGTATTACAACTTGTCATGGATTGGAGACCACCGATGGAGTTGGTTACGGAGGAAAAATATTCCACACTTACGGCATCTTTATTTGTTGTGGAACGTTATTTTACTTTCCATTTACCCGCATTACATGAGTTTCTGCATCAATTTAATCGAAATGGATCAGCACTATATCGGTTGAGAAGTTTAGGGTCTAGGTTGCATTTTGGTCTAAGGGAACCTAATAAAGAAGTTTATTCCGCTCCACTTTGGCCTCATCGAACCATTATTAAACTTGATGCAAAAAATATTATAATGTTTTATCATCCCTGGTACAAGAAGGAATTGAGTGATCTTTCTAGTAACACGGAATTTTTTGTGAGAACAAGTTTTTCTTCTTGCAAGGCAAACTGGTCTTTTGATGGGTTTAAAGGTCATATTTTGATGGAATTATTCTTGATAACAGGATTACCAAGAGTTATGAAATCATCATGCAGTTGTGCATCGAACGTACTCTCTAAAAATAATGTCTTGTTGGTGGAGTTAAGGCAAGATGTTACCTATGATTTGGAGAAGCAGAAGGAAGCATTCAGTATAGTGATGAGGGGAAAAGACATGATGAAAATACCTCAGATGTTTAAAACCCCAATTGGCGCAAAACCTTCATCTTGTGCGGCTGATATGATGCCGTTTATGGTTTCTTTTGAAGAGGCATATGAATTTATTGAGATTGTAAATGCTGCGTTTGATTTCTCGTCGCCGCAACAAGTTACTGTGGAGATAAGCCCTAGACATGAACGTGTTTTAAAAATAAATGTTGCACCTTTTCTAGTGTATTCTCCCTCTTTGTTTGATGTGGCATTCGTATCATGGGAGGGTATAGATTTCATGATACAAAAAGATGGGAACTTTGAGGGAACCATGGTGGGTATATCACTCTTGTATGATGCATCCTTAAGGGCGATTGAAAATCAAGAAATGACAGTGTTGTGGGATCATCTCCATACAGTTAAAAAGGCTACTGCTATTTTAGAGGTATTGGGAAATCAGGATACTGAAGAAGACTTTATAACACTAAAGAAAAAATCAGATATGGATTCTGTCATGCTACATATTGGTGGTGTTTTTTTGCATATCACCGAGAAGAAACTACCGTTGCTGTTACATCAATTCATGGAGGTCCACAATTTTTTTTGTTCTAATACTTTACCATTGCCTTTATCACCACGAGAAAATGTTATTGCTACTTCCGAGCTGAATTATGCACTCATGAATATTCAGTTCGACGAGGTGCATTTGGGTTTTAGGTGGAACAGTCGAATGAATGGTATCTATGGGGAACTTCATTGTGCCCTTTTTGCGTTTACATGGAGAAGTAATGGAGCCTTAACCTTGAAGGATGGAGTTGTGCAGTTGAAGTGGTTTGATGCAGCTCCACTTGGTGAGTCCATGGGTTCAGTTGATCTATTGCTTCAAGAGGCCAGCGAGACTGTACCGCTGATTGAGCACATATCGCTTTCAAGTGAGGAATCACGTTTAGGGAAGATCCTTGTGAAAATCTCACCTATTCACATGAATTTATCTTTCGACACTTATTTGAGCCTTGTTGAGCTAGTTGTGTACCATCTGAGACTTGAACTCAGAAGACCCGCGAGAAGGACATCAGGGGATTTCGTTTCTGTAGAGACCCTAGGTAAAGGTACCTTGGATATGAAAAAGTCACTCTCATCTGCGTCATATTTGTTTTCATGTGGGAATGGGGATACTCTTACATCATTCAGCGGTGCGGGATTTCTTGTGCAGAGTGGTGATGTAACTCCTACCTGGCAATTTTCTCTGGAGTTGGCGAAGGTAAGGCTCACGGTCGACACGGAACGGCGGGCGAAAAATGCTGCCAGAAAAAATTTTAAACCTTTATTGTGGTTAAACCTCACAAATATCATTTTTGATCTTTTTCCTAATGGGACCTCTTTTGCGTTGGATGAGGTGAGACTATCTTTTCTTCGCGAGACAAGTGTCGTTTCCCTTTCAGGTTTGCAGTTTAGTACATCGCGTGCTTCTGATTCAATGCCTTCAGTGCCCGAGATGGTGTACATGGTGCAATCGATGATCACTAGGTTTTTTACACCCGATTTGTTGACGTGTTTTGATCGCCTCATCAAGACTCCTGCAGAGGAGCTTGCAGAACTTTACTGGGAGACGACACACCCAAGCGGAAGTGATATTTTGTGCCGTTTCCATACCGAAGACAGTACTCGTGATAATGGCGGTAATGGTGACAACCGTAGCGGGAGTAAGAAGGGCAATTACCGTAAGATGGAGGTTTTAACGGTGGGTACACCTGTGTGGGAATTGACGAACGACCTTGTGCTTAGCCGCAATGGTGGAACGGTGTTACAGTTCTCTAACGTGAATACAAACAATATTCACGTGGAGATGAACGGCCACTCAATTCTTATTGAGACGCCACGGAAAGCGGGAGCTGAGATTGTGATGGTGGTTGACGGAGGAATTTCATTGACGTTTTGCAATGGTCGTTTTTTTTTGCCTTGTCTTCTCTCGGAAGAGACTCGAATGCGTCGTCTAGAACGTTTGGGCGAGGAAGCCTTGTTGTTACCATTCATAGCACTGGGTGAATGCAGTTATATTCGATGTTTTAAAGTCCGTTATGCCACAACCGAGAGGCACAATTTGCAACATTTTTATCATGAGGAGCAGAAGCAACAGAAAGAGGATGGGGTTATTGAAAGTGTGCGCCCTCAACGCTGGAAAATGCATGCGGGAATTCATTCAGTCGTACTACATGTATCTTCGGAACGACAAAAGGGTATCGTGAAGGCGACTGTTGCCGTGGAAGCGAAGATAAGCCTGCATGGTAAGAAGATTGAGCGAGGCGAGATTTCCCTTGAGAACTTTAGTGTTGTCACACGCACCATGGATTCCACCACTAATAATACAACCAACACCACCACCACCGCCGTCAGCAGAAGCAGCAGCCCCAAGAGTAACAGTAACATGAGTGCATCGGCGATGGATAATGTTTTGATTGCTCCGGTTTCTATTCATCTCTGCATCTCGGAAAGCCGTCAGTTTGCGTTTTCTCTGGGGCGGGTTGTTGTGGATGCCATGGTGGGCGATTTGTTGTTATTGAGTATTATGGCGCGCGAGCTTTTTCTTTTTGCGCGGCATGTTATATCATTCCAGCTTGCACCAACGGAACAAGAGTACAGATTGCAAATTGAGCACGTCTTGGGGTGGAATTCGGTGGGTATGCGTGGAGATCAACACGAGGAGGGCGGTGATGCTCGCCAAAGGGGCGAGGCGCCGAATGAGGAGCCAACAAACAAAATGCCAGTACTTTCACTGGCCTTATTCCTGCCCATGATGGAGGTGAAATTAAGTAATCTCAAGTATCCACTGGTACAGCTGTCACTAGCCGATATTGTGTGGAAGGTGAACATGTTTTGCACGAGTCGAACAACCTTGTTGCAGAGCCAGCAGCTCAATATACGGGTTTACGGCAAGGGTCGCTGGGATACACTCATACCACCAAAGGCTGTGATATCCCTTGAGGCAGTTCATTCTTGGTCAAGAAGGACTCGTACGGAGCAGGTCGAGCTGCAGTGTGACGGCTTTGTTTTGTATGCCTCACACCTATTGCTTTCCAAGATGATGCACATCCACCGTGAATGTTCAGAGTTTTATTCTACCATTTTTGAACTTTCACATCATGCGCAGGAAGCGTCACCTCCGATAGGTCTTTCTAACATTTTGAATCCCGTTTCCACCGCGACACATCGTTTTATAAATGTTTTTGATGATGTTTTTTATCTCTTTGTTGGAAAAGATTTGGAAAATGGAGAAATTGTGCCATTACCCTCCTCCACCGCAGTGGATCTCACACTGCCGTTCAACAGGGCGGAAGATGTTCGAGTTTACCTATACCCTCGGCATTGCATTGAGCTGAATGAAAATGGACGTCATGTAAGAAATAATGAGGGATTACGTAGAGACATGCAACACTGTCATGTTGTGGCAAGTCAGTTGCAGTACGGTCGTGCCTTTGGTCTTGTATTGGATGATCTGCTTGTGGTAATCTCATGTGTAGAGACGGAAGGGATACAGAAGGGGATGCCACCTTTGTCCTCTGTGAATGCCAGATGTCAACAATATGGTGACCGTGGTGCGAAGCCTCTTAATTTGACCAATCAGGCAAATTTATTGCCCCCATTTCGAAAGTTGCCAATGGCTTCATTTGGGGGAATAGATGAGGCGGGTTTAGTCATTGTCCGTATTCATTCTCGGAGATCCCTTTACAATGGCATTGGGATGATGATCGAGGTACGTCAGTATATTCTAGCTGATTCAGAGGAGACACCGATGAGTGAAGACTTCTGGATCGTGCCTCCAAACTCGGAGTATCCTCTTGTTGCTTTATGCAATCGGTTAGAGCTCCGTTTTTCGCTGGATGGGGATGTTTATGGTACGTCATTCAGTACGCCCTCTCTTGAAACTGGCGTTGTCTTGGCGTTTCAACGAATTGGAAATGCAGTGTCAAACCGGGAAAACAGCGGTTTTTTGCCAGTGTCTGTCTTTATTGCACTGCGTCGTTTTCCTGAGAGCGGCTCCACTGTCATCCATCTTCTTCCCCGTATGACGGTTCTTAATCATATTGGGGTCCCTATAAAACTGTCGCTCTGGCAGGAAGAGGGAACTGAAGAAGAAAAGGAGGAGGAGGAGGAGGAGGAGAGGCTGCTGAACCATCGGGATGATAGCGTGAGCAGTACTAGTAATGATGGTGAAAGAGGCAGTAGTATTACTGCTAATAGTGGTCAACCATCCTCACGATGGCCTCACTGGAGAAGGCGTTCTTCGCGACGGCGACTCATAAGTCTTGGAGAACACGGAGCCCTTCCACATCAAGGTGCTCTTTCCATTTGTCGCTGCTCCTACAGCAGCGGTCTCTTGCTGAGTCTGAGCTTCACACAGACAGGTGGAGAGACAGTGCAAACCGAAAGGACTACAAAGGTATGCAGCTCGCTTAAAAGGAGGGTAGGGCGAGAGCCATGTCTTATTCAGTTGTGTGACTCAAGCGAGCGTTCATTTTATGTGCAAGTAACTGTGCTGCATCGAACGATCATATTGTCTGTTGGATATTGGGTGATCAATCTCACGGAGTACCCCATTTTACTGAAAGACAGTTACACTTCACGCCACCTCACAGCAGGGCAGTCGATGAACACCGGTATTCCGCCATCACGGGGTCTTCCTTTTCTTATTGGTTCTCGTCCGGCAGAATTCACGGTTGCCTTATTAAAGATTGGTCTGGATGAGGAATGGTCCGAGGGAATTCCGACGCAGGTGGGATCGCATGGTGTTGCAGAGTCACCGCGCCGCATGGTGGGTGGTGTCACACGAAGCTGCAACTATGTTATCCAGTTCCCTCGTGTTCAAGAAGGACGACCCGCGGTGCTGCTTCTCACCCCACGTTGGGTGTTTATCAACAATGCTAACCGTCGTTTGAAAGTTCATTTTACATTTCCTGTTGCGAAAAAGATGCCGTCATTGAAGAAGCTGTCTTCTCGTGAACAAAGATCACCACGTGCATCCGAAGCGGATACGGATTCTTTGCCGTTCCTGACGCTGCGGCCAGGCGAGCATCAATTTAGCTGCATTGGCACGGCAACTGGAAACATGGCATCATTCCAGGACACTCTGGAGGATGCTGTGCCGTCAGTCACCTCGCTCTTTTCTGATACTGTGCGACATAAAAATCTTGCAGAATTTTATGAAGCGCATCGCACTGCATCCATCTCTGTAGATGGTCCTGGCCACGCGGTGTTTAACTTGTGGGCTTCTCTTAAGCGTCAGCCAGCGGTTCCAAGCGTCTTCTATGGAGCGAGAATAGCGAATCACAGATCGTCCTCGTTATTACCACAGTCATCATCAGATTGCCCTGAATTTGATGAAGATGTGGCTTTTGTCACGGGCCGTATCAGCGTGACGGTGCAGCATATTGACAACGTTTTGGCTGTTGTGATCAAAAGCATTCATTCTACAAACATGGTGATTCAGAATCGAGCGCGCAGCGTAACGCTTGCGGTGCGGCAAAAAGGAAGCCAACGTCGCACCGTTATTCCCCCGTGTCAGAACCGTTTTTTTCTATGGGAGGACTATCGCACAGATCCTGTGATATCTCTGCACGTTATTGGTTTCAAGGGGGCATGGTTTGAGGTGGACTTCTCACGGGGAAGTTATCAGGTTCAACGGCGCCACACATCTGAACTTACAGAAAACGTGCTTTCCACGTTTAGTTTTCGGGCCTGTATAAGCACACGGAATGCGCAGCGTGTGACAATTCTGTTTACGGATGAAAATTTCCCACCACATACCTCTTTTGATGACGCGTGGCATAGAAGTGTGGGGCGCACAATTTCTTTTCCATCACTGGAGTTGTTGTGGCTCATGGAGGGGCAATCTACCGGGGATAAGCCACATTTGTCTCTGGTAATGCGAGATTTGCAGGTGCAAACCCTTGTTGCAGGCAATACCCACGCCATTTCAATAATCCTGAAGCGACTGCAGGTTGTAGATGTACGCAGGCAGGTGATTGTTGTGCTGCACCGCGCGAACCCGGCAACTTCAAACGCGACAGAGGTGTCTACGGGTGGTAGGATTCTAAGCTGGCTTTGGAGAGGTGAAGAGGTACCACAGCAGGATTTCCAGGCGGTGTATGCTGCTATGATGTCACCAAGCGGTGTGACACGTGTGACGGAGTTATCTTTTGTATTTACTCCTTTTGTTTTGAATTTATCTGATCAACTTGTGGTGTCGCTTTGGCAAGAGTACCGTGGACTCTTCTCTTTTTTCAAGAATAATGGCAGCAAGACAACGCTGGTTTCAGAAGCCTTGTCATCAACACCGGTCTCACACCACGAATTCTCACAGAGGCTAATGGCGAGGATGCAAGAGCCTGAGAATTGTACCGCAGAGATCTCCGTTGGTAATACGTCCCTGACTTCCTCTTCTGCAATTCCAATTGTTAATTATTTCAATCAAAGCGAAACACACGAGGGGCCGGCGCTATTGTTTATTGATCAGGCTCATTTTTCCCGTCTTACGGTATTTCTAACCTTCAGTCGCCAAAAACCCGATTTGCTGTGGGAACTTTTAGGGATGTATACATTGATGATTCCCAAAAGGCTGGAGCAAAAGGAATTTTCATGGAATGCGCTAGTAGTTGAGAACGGTACAACGACGTGGGGTTTGCTGCTCGCACAGGCACAGCGTTGGTTGATGGATGGGGCGTTGCGCCAATGGCCAAAGGTAACGCGCCTAGGTGACATTGTCGACACGTTTAAAAGAGGTTCAAACAGGCGTGTGACACTCGCAGGCACACCCGCACCGAGATTGGCAGATGTAAACAATTTTTCTGATGGTGATGATGATAAGAAGGAGAAGGACAAGAGGGAAAATGAGGCACTTTCTTCCAGTAGGAGGATGTTGTAGAGTTTGTTAAGTCCAATTTCATTTTCTCTGAACTTGGATGGTTCTCTGTTGTTGTTGTTGTTGTTGTTTTGATCACTCCCTCCGTGTACCCGGGCAAACGCCTGGCATTTTGTCTGTTTTCATCCCTTTTCTCTCGCTCTCCATTTCTTTCTTTTTGTTGTTGTTGGTTTTTTTCTCCATTCCCTTCCTTCCTCCTTGTGGCAAGGCAAAAAAAAAAAAAAAAAAAACGCACACGTGCATACTTATATATATATATATACATTTATAATATTATTTTTTATTACATAAAAAAAAAAAGGAGAGGAGGGGGGAGGGGTCTACATCTTGGATAGAGAGAGATGGAGCTCGGTATGGGAAACCAATCCCCGTCCCTGGGCAAGAATGACTGCTCCAACACACAAGACAACAGTCAACTGAATACCGAGGTCAACGAGGAGGCGCCGGTGAGAAGCAACAGTCAACTGAATACCGAGGTCAACGAGGAGGCGCCGGTGAGAAGCAACAGTCAACTGAATACCGAGGTCAACGAGGAGGCGCCGGTGAGAAGCAACAGTCAACTGAATACCGAGGTCAACGAGGAGGCGCCGGTGAGAAGCAACAGTCAACTGAATACCGAGGTCAACGAGGAGGCGCCGGTGAGAAGCAACAGTCAACTGAATACCGAGGTCAACGAGGAGGCGCCGGTGAGAAGCAACAGTCAACTGAATACCGAGGTCAATGGGGAGGCGCCGGTGAGAAGCCACAGTCAACTGAATACCGAGGTCAACGAGGAGGCGCCGGTGAGAAGCAACAGTCAACTGAATACCGAGGTCAACGAGGAGGCGCCGGTGAGAAGCAACAGTCAACTGAATACCGATGTCAATGGGGAAGCGCCGGTGAGAAGCCACAGTCAACTGAATACCGAGGTCAACGAGGAGGCGCCGGTGAGAAGCAACAGTCAACTGAATACCGAGGTCAACGAGGAGGCGCCGGTGAGAAGCAACAGTCAACTGAATACCGAGGTCAACGAGGAGGCGCCGGTGAGAAGCAACAGTCAACTGAATACCGAGGTCAATGGGGAAGCGCCGGTGAGAACCAGACGTGGGGGCCGTCGGGGACATCGACGTTCGGCTCAGCAGCAATTGACAGCATCCACGACAACAATGGAAACGGGGTCAACGTGTACAACGTCCAAGCCGATGGAAACAGTCGTGGTGCCGGTAAGCGGTGAGGCGGCAACGTCGTCTGAAGATCCGCGTCCGGTAAATCGTACGTCTGTGCGTCGACGGGCCAAAGCCACCAGCACCACCGTTACAAAAGTGGTGACTGGGGTTTCTTTAGAAGATCTTCGAGCAAAGCGTAACGGCACGGCTGCCGATGGCGTTTCAGGAGGAGATGCGAAAACAATTGAAGAGGTCAGTCGTATTCTTTTTATGTACGCATCACGAAATCCACATGGTGGCAAATCTTACTTTAGCAGGCGTCCTGGTCCTTTTTCAAGTGACGTGAATTTATGCAAGGTGGGCGTGGAGAAGGAAGGAGATGGTGTGGATGCGGCGGCAGAAGGGAGCGGCATGGACACAACATCATCAACACCAGAAGGAACTGAGGAGAAGAAAAGTGGGCTTTTTGTGGGAGAGTTGCCAAACCCCGATGGTGATTATACGGGTCTCCCTGATGTTTATGCCCATGTGATGTCGCTTATTCTTTCAGGGGATTTGCCACCCAAAAGCTTAGAGGTATTACATGCCATGTTGTCTCACACCCCACGCGGGGGGGTATTAGACCCATTTTCTGCATCAAGGAGGAGCAAGCAGGGTTTTACCCAACCAGGGTTTCAATATAGAATGAGAGATGCAATGCAACAGAGTTCACAGCGTTTCTTCACATCCTTCGACTGTTGCTCACTACAACAACAACAACAACTGGAGTTGATGGGTTTGATGGAGGAGAATTTTTGGGGGTATGGTGGCTTTAATTCTTACATAGATCAATCATACATGCATGGAATGGGCTGCTCTCAGTTCAACATGATGCCTTTTTATCCTCACCCCATGGACCAACACGAAGCCACACCGGACCATGCGTATTCTAATGAAAGGGCCATGTCCTATTCGTTTCTAGGCGAGCAGGCTTCACAGCATGAAGAAGCTTATCCAATATATAATCACGGTGTGAAAATAGATGGTGCAGGAGGGTACGAAGGATATATATACCCACTGGAAGAATATGAGAAGTGGGATGTAAATAAAAAGGAGGACGGTATTAATAGCAAACATAATAATAATAATATTAATACTAACGCTTATGATGATGATGACGATGCGGATGTCACGGCAATGTTGCAGGATGTTCGGGATGCCGTGCAACGGGCATCGTCACCTCGGCAGTTGGGTGACGCCAATTCCTTGAATGATGCAGTTGCAGGTTCATTGAATGGGGGTTGCAATGAACACTCGGAAGAAACCCCCTTTTCCTCCTTGCTTCCAGCGCCGTGTGTTACGATCAGTCAAACGGAGCGTGACTCATTGCGGTCCTTTCAGCAGGCATTCCTTGCTCGCATGCGGGTAACAGGATCGCCGGAGTGGAATTCCCCTGGTGCGACTTCGCCAAGAAGCCTCCTGCGTGCTCTTGTGGATGACAATGACGTGAATGACTTTACATTGGGGCAGCCACAGCCACCACCGCAACAACTACAAGAGCAGCAACAACAACAGCAGAAGGAGCAGGAAGATGATGCTGACGACGGCAGGTACACAACGAATCGCACGCTTTTTTCTTACCGCACCACCCTTTTAGATGAAGAAGAAGGCGAATACGATGGTGGCAGCGGTGATCTTGACGACATCCTGACCCCTGACGAGCCTGCACCCCGTGGTGATTCTGTAGCAACCACCGCCGCCCCACGGGAAAGCCACCACCAACCGCAACAGCAACAGCAAGCGCAAGAACAAGAGCACTGGCAGGAGAGTTGCAGCGAGACGACATCGAAGACGGGACAATTCTCGCTACCTTTTTCTGCAATGCGTGGTGATGCAGCGGAGGACACGCAAGAGATATTCTTAGCGGCAGAAAGCAACCTTTGGTCCTGGACCCCGAGTGATGGCAAGCGGGAGGGATTGGGAGCTGAAGGGGCAACTGTGAAGAAAACAACAGCAGCGACACCGTCCAGGCGGTGGCTATACGTGGACGAGCCCAAGGAATGTTACACTTTCTCCGCCACGCCACAGCAGCCAACTACACAAAAGAAACAAGTGAGATGGAGTGATGACCACTCGCCATATTTTCCGGCCGCATGGGATCTCGCGGTGCCAATGTTTCCCGCAATGTTAGGAATGACGTCAAGCATGACTCCTGCAACCAACATGAGGGCTATAAAGTTGTCACCGTCACAAGGGATGGCCAAGACAAGTCCGGCACCTCTTAACTTTAATGCGATGCCATTCATCCCGTCTCGCGCGGGGGTGTGAGCGATCTCTTTTCCATCTTTTTTAATTCTCGCAGTGAATTGTTCTGAGGGCGTTGAAAGTGATGGGACGTCATTGGCGACGTGAAGACGGCTCATCAAGGAAGGAAGGAAGGAAAGAAACGAAAAGAAAAAAAACATGCACAGAGCATCCAATGTTATAAAAGGGCGAAGGAGAAAATATGGCAATGTCAGGGGGGGGGGAGGGGAAGAGAGAGAGGGAGAGAGAACGGCAAGAAAAAATCATATAAATAAAATTTACACATGCGATGAGGAAAAGGAAGAGGAACCGTGTGGGGAGATTTATTAAAATGAAAACGTCTCGGTTATTGCTGGTGGTGTGGGGAGGAAACGGAAAAAAAAAAAAAAAAAAGAGAGAGAGAGAAGAGAAGAGAAAGGTGGCATTTTCGCCTTCTCTCGTACCTGCACAGCGGACTGTCCAGACCGCAGCCCACACATTTATGCAAACTGAAAGCCAAATAATAAAAAACAACAAGAAAAAAAAAAAAAAAAAGAAACGAAATAGAAAATAGATGCGTAGACGTTCCACACAACCTGAAACAGACTCCAAAGAACAAACGGAAAAAAAAAAAAAAAGGACAATCGCCTTCACATGTTTCCTGAGCCCCGCCCTCCCCACCCTTCTGGGCACACACAGAGACACAGAATGAAGAAAAGGAAACGAGGAAGAAGTGTGTGGGAAGAAAATGATTACATGTATGAGTTTTCTTTTTTTTTTTTTCTTCCTTTTTTTTCTTGTGTGTGTTTGTTTGTTTGTGTTAACCCACACACACACACACACAAACACACACAACTTTCCTTTCCCGTCCAAGCAGTCGCTGCTTGCCAATAATAAAGGATGCCGGCGGTGGTGGGATACAACTGTGACATGCAGAGAGGGGGAATATGTGTGTGTGGTTGCCTGTGCGAGGCGGCGAGGGGGGGGGGGGGGAAAAAAAAAAAAAAAAGAAAAAAAAGGGGGGGGGAAAAAAACGAGGAAAAAATTAAAGGTGGGATGACGTGAGTGTGTATGTGTGTGTTTGGTTGGTTGGTTTTTTTTTTTTTTTTTTTTTTTTTTTTCCCAAAAACATTGTGTTTTCTTTTAAATTTTGATTTTGTGCGTGGGGCCTTTCTCTTTTTTTCATTCTTTTTTTTTTTTTTTTTTTTTTTTTGCCCCCTGCCCGGGGGGGGGGCTGTTTCTCCCCCTGTTTGACCACAAAAGTGGAACGGAGGATTAGGGGGAAGGGGAAAGAAAAGAAAAAGAAAAAAAAAAAAAAAGGCTGCGAGGAGGAGGAGGAGGAGACAACACCAACGAAGATGAAGAAGTGAAATGAAAAAAAAAAAAAAAAATTGAATGTTTTGTCTGTTTCTCGTGAAGTCACCGTTACATACATATAAATATGCATGACGTAAATGAAAGACACACACACACACACATTCATGTGACTAAATCTCCCATCTTATTTTCTCTATTCCGTTATATATATATATATATAACAAGAGGAAGAAGAAATGTAGATCCCTTCTTTTCCTCTCTTATGGTGTTGCCATCTTCATGCATATCCATTCTAAATAATGGACCTAAAGCATATATACGAGTGTGTATATTTATTTCTTTTTATCATGCATTCCCTGAATATATATATATATATATTCTTTTCTTTTCTTTTCTTTTTTTTTTTTTTTACCCCAAACTTTATTGCTTTTCAAACTGGCACATTACTTGTGTACGCAATTGACTGGGGAGAGGCTAGGAGAGGTGCATTTTCCTCTTCATTCTGTCTCCAGGGGTGGTCGTACTGGAGTGATAACGGCAGCAATAGCTACGGGTTGTGGAGAGGAAACAAGCGGCGGGTACTACGTAGAATAGACTGACGATGAGACGGCAAATGTACACGAGGGAGGAACTCATTGCGCTGCGCGAGGCGCTGGCACTAGACACTTTTGCGGATCCCGTGCCGCTGGACTGCCCAATGCGCACCGACAGTGACCTGACGCTGCATCAGACAACAGTACGGAAACGCAATAAGGAAGATTGGAAGGTAATGTCATTTTCGAAAAGAATATCTGCTTTTAACGGAACAATTGGGGAGAATAATGTCACGACACGACCCGACATCCACCGAGCGAATTTTGGGGAGGCATCAATCACGCTGTGCAGGTCAAATAGGACTGAGGAATATACGGATTGTGATGATTGCGGCTGCAAGGTGATTATGCCGCCTCGACTCCAGATACCCTTTGTTACCATAGATCCCATGCGCAGACATTATAATACATCTTCTAGAGACTACAAGAAGAAGGCTGAGGTGAATATCGATATGGAGCGGAATATGGTGGCTCGGCTGCGATTACGGCAGCAACGGCAGCCAACAAAAAAAAATCCCACTGAATATAGAGAAAAGCAGTCACGGTACAAAGAGGTCCCTGATAGCTGTATGGTTTTTGCCACGTCATCGCCGCCAAAAACAGAAGATGCATCGCGCGGTGCCTTTGTACATATTACGCAAATGATAGGGTTGGGATCTAGTACAGTACCGCAACAGGAAGTGGGCAGCGCCGTGTCCATTTCAAATGTTTCTCTCTTCAATTCAATGCTTGGGAGTCGTTACTTGGGGTTCACACGTTCCATGGGACTGTGGCATTATCTCTCCAAAACATTTGATGGGAAGTACCTACATGTTTTAGAAGAGACTGCAGACACGGGGCCGAGCAACGGCGCTATCAACAACAATCCCATCGGCCGTCATCACAACGGAAATGAGAGTTCAATCGGACCTGACGACTCCGGCACGACACCTGCGGGAGAGGAAAAGAGTGGGAGTGAGCAGGTGGAAGAGACACACGGGAATTATGAAGTTTTGAAGCAAAGGCGACCCCATCGGAGGCGGACAAATCGAACGCATGCGGAAAAGCGAGTGAACCGTCAACTAAAGGAATTTTTTTCGGAAATGAAAACCAGCGGTGAGGATTGTGGGTGATAAAAAAGAGCTAAGTGCACCATGCTGCCTGGAGTTACACGGTCAAATATTATTGAAGGCCCTTCTTACCATTTTTTTTTACTGCCATTTTTGGTTTTTTTTTGGTGTAGAACACCTCTTGCTTTGCTTTGAAGAACATTGCGGATATGCATTGGCCGCTTTAAACCGTTAACGAAGGGCAAAAAAGGGAAAGGGGAAAGTGCATACACAACGGTACTCAACACTTTACTTTTTCACGTACTCCAAGTTAATTTCCTTTTTTTTTACAAACATGGGGAAGGAGTCAACAATGCAACACCAGCCGCACGCAATTCATTGCCGAACATTCCCATATTCTCATTACCATTATGGTAACGACACCTCACCACCTGCTACAGGCCCGCCGTTAAGAAAAAAAAAAAAAAAAACTTACATTGGCTATTGCTTTGTCCTACTCTACTTTTTTTTTGAAATCTTATTTTCTGCCAGACGGCTGCTTTGCAACTGTAAGCACTGAAAAACACACGGCACACTAAAATACACACAAGCACACATACGCCTTGTCGCTCACGCTGTGGAGCGGTGTGAACCCCGAGAACGCACGCACGCACAAGCTTCTGGCTGCTGCGGCCCTCGCCAACGTTGCGGTGACGCTGAAGGCGTGCGAGTACGGCCGCGAGAACGAGACGGCGGAGTACTGCCGCAACTGCAGCCCGTGCGGCCGTTACCCCGTGCTGCAGACGGAGGAGGGCTGTGTGTTCGAGTCCAACGCCATCCTGCGCCACATCGCGCGCCTTGACCGGAGCGGCGGCTTCCTGTACGGCCGCACGCCGCTGGAGGGCAGCCAGGTGGACATGTGGCTCGACTTTTCGGCAACGGAGCTGGACGCTGCCTCCGCACCGTTTGTGCACCACGCCTTCCGTGGCGAGCCGCTGCCCGCCAACGCGATGGACCGCGTGCACGAGGTACTGCGTGCGCTGGAGGCGTGGCTGGAGACGCGCACATTCCTCGTGGGCGAGCGCATGACGGTTGCGGACGTGGCGGTTGCGTTTGCGCTGCAATGGCACTACCGTCTGAACGGCGCGGAGGGAGAGGCACTGACGAAGAAGTACCGGAACGCGTACCGCCTGTACAACACGGTGATGCAGCAGCCGAAGACGGTGGAGGTGCTGCGGTCGCAGGGTGCGACGTTCGGGCCCGTGAAGGCGGAGCGAAAGGGCAAGGACGCGGCTGCGCCCGCCCGGGCAGAGAAGAAGCCGAAGGCTGCCGCTGCTGCTGCTGATGGTGCGGAGGAAGAGGACGAGGCGCCGAGGGAGAAGAAGAAGCCGAACCCGCTGGACGAACTGCCGCCGAGCCCTTTCGTGCTGGACGCATTCAAGCGCGAGTACAGCAACACGGACACCCGCACGGTTGCTGCGCCGTACTTCTTCCAGCACTACGACGCCGCCGGCTACACGACGTTCTGGTGCCGCTACAAGTACAACGAGGACAACAAGATGCAGTTCATGACGGCCAACCTGATCCGCGGGTGGTTCCAGCGCATGGAGCACGTGCGCAAGTACGCGTTTGGCGTTGCACTCATCATTGGGGAGGAGAGGCGGCACGACATTGTGGCGCTGTGGGTGTTCCGCGGCCGGGGCATGCCGGCGATTGTGGAGGACGTGGAGGACACGGAGCTGTTCGACTGGGAGGAGGTCGCTGACGTCGCGGCGCAGCGGGAGCGCATCACGGACTACCTGTGCTGGGAGGGCCCGACGATCCCGAGGCCTGTGCTGGAGGGGCGTGTGTTCAAGTGAGCGTGGCGTGCTGGTGAGGGACTGAGTAGAGAGAATAACGGTAATAGTAACTGTGGGAGTGTGAGGAACGGGGCAAGGGCGAGGAGCACTTCTTTTTTTTGTTTTTTGTTTGTTGTTGTTTTGATTGTTGTTGAACGGCGCCCACCCAATTGTTGTTGTGCGTGACTCTCATCGCTGGATGGGACGGTGCGTGGCTGTGTGACTTGTCTCTTCTTTGCCTTCACTCTGCGTTGACGGGGAGTTAGTCTGTGCTGAAGGCTGCACGCAAGTGACAGGGGTGATGGCGATGATGATGACTGGCCGTGTGCTGCTGGTGTGTGCCCTCTGCGTTCTGTGGTGCGGTGCCTGGTTGTGTGATGCGGCGGAGACTTCATCGAGTGCTCCGCATCGTGACAATGCGGAGGAAACGATGACTCCAGAGGAGGTGACTGAGGCTATCGAAAAGCTCGCAGAGGGAGTGCTGGACATGATTCGAGTATCTTGTCGAATGTCTTTCATTACGAGTGTAAATGCCACGTTACCCGCGCACAACGATACAGAAGTTGAGAAATGCGTAAACAAAACGGCGGTTGGGATTTCCGGCGTCACCCCTCGTGGCCGGCCTGCAGCCGCAACCACAGACGCCACTTTTGCCTCGCCATTGCCGTCGTCAAGTTCTGCTGCCAGCGCATAGCAGGGGCAGGCGCAAGGATCACCAGGTGCTGCACCAGAGCCTGTGAAACCCCCGCAGACAGACCCGGTCAATAGTGAACAGCTGTCTGAAACGCCGGCCTTCACAGGCGGTGGTCCTGGTGGTGGTGGTGAGTTGGCTGACAGGAGCAGCCGTACACCGACCGACGTCGCAAGAACACATGAAGCACGCCCAGCTGGTAACGCCACTTCCACACCGACGGCCACTCAGGGGGATTCCGAGAAGTCACCGGCGAACACCACCCGAACACGTGAGACAAACGAGACTGGTGACACCGACGGCAGCACCGCGGTCCTCCACTCCACCTCCCCTCTTTTGCTTTTTGTTGCGTGTGCGGCTGCTGCTGCGGTGGTGGCCGCGTGAGAGTGAGGGAGAGAGAGCTGTGCACCGCCCGCACACACACTCGTCCTTCTCTGTGTGTGTGTGTCCCCTTGCATGGACTCTCGCCCTCACCTCACCCCACGAGGCACACACATAATGTGCCCATTGTATATATGCATGCACACCCATGCCGGCCCGTTGGTGCTCTCTTTTGCACGACACGCACCGCTGCCGTCCTGCCTGGCTGCATGGGCGGAGCACCGTAA